ATTGCATCTGGAATGGTTGGGAACCCATAAATTGTGTTCCCTAGGGCATGAAGAATGGATATGTGGGTCCAGTAGGTGGGGTCTGTTGATTGGACAAGGCCTTCATTGTTTTCAACACATACAGAAGCCGTTGGCTTTCTTTCAAACGTAAGAACAAGTTCTGACAATTTGGGTTCCAGTTTAAATACTCACTGAAAGTTACAACCTGTTCGTCGTCAAGTAGCATTTCACTTATGACTTCACAGCAACGGTCGAAGTTTGAACTCGGGGTTTCACCAAGTTGAGTAGCCCCAGGCTGAGTAGCACCTGAACTAGTGCCTTTGCTAGACTGGCGACTTTCAAGAGTGTTGGCTATACTCTTTAAGAGGATCTTCGCTTCTGGATCCATCATTCTTACCCCACTCTTGGTTGGTCGCTTTGAGATTGGCCGCGACGAAGAGGCAATATTCAATGGGCTTCCCGAGGAATGTAGGCGCTCCGCATTGTTCGAACAAAACCTTCAGTGTCACCAGCTTGAGAGGTTCCGCCATCTACATTCTCCTCCTCTATGTGCGGCTGTGAGGTTTCATTTTCCTCATCAGTATCGTCCATCCGTGATTCAAATGCACCACGTGCACGCGTACTCGCGAAGGCCTCGTAGTAGAGGTCGTAATTTTTTAGTGGGTCGTTGCGTGCACGCTTTGCCCATTTGTGCGACTGTTTACAACGCAACTTGGAAGTCAGCAATTGGATCAAAATCATCTTAGGAAACCATATATGCCGAAGTACATAGAAAAAGTACTAACCTTGCAGAAGTCATTCCAATACTCCTTCGTGCATGTTGGACAATTTTTTACTGGATCCCATCCGAGACCGGTGTTCGTGCGAAGTGCAAGCTCAGCATTGAATTTCTTTTTCAGTCTTTCATTGGCCTCCTTCACCCGGCCTAGAGGAATGGGAGTGGAAAATAGAGGGGATAATTTGGTGGCCCATTGCTCCCAATCAACTGCCTCTGGTTGACGTATGTTGTTCTTATTGTGTTCCGCAAGGCGGATTAACAACGCATGTCTTTGTTTCTTAGACCAATAGAAAGTCACGTCCTCTTCATTCCTTCGCGGCATCTAATACATAACATCAAGACCACCACTCACGGCAAGAAAGAGCAATATGCCACGACAAAGAAGAATGGATGATTAAAGCAATACGTTTCAACTCATTTGGCTCAGAAATTCGTATAAAAACGTCTTCATCAGTTTCGGAGCACTACCCCTAAGGCAAGGCAGTTATGCTACCAGGCCTTATTGTAGCAGGTAAGGGATCACATTCCCTTTTGTGTAGTTTCGGAGCACTACACTTAGGGCATGGTTCAATCCATCATAGCCCGCATAAATAAAGCGGCAGCTAATAAATGCCTAAATACCGAAAGGATAGCGCTACAACGAAATTGATATGCATTAAAAAAAATGATTCATCATTGCCAATAATCCGGCCAAGAAGAAGAAGAAGAGCTAATATTCTCATCCAAGTATTAGGTGTAGTATATTTATATAAACGGGAGAGAAAAAATGCATTAGAAACATGAGATGAGAATTTAAAATGAGAATTAATCGCATAAGCCTACAAGTATAGAATGGTAAGACTGTAATCAAGTTGTCACAACTTGCAGATTCAAGTTTTCAAGACCTTATAATAATTTTCCACAGCATAGTATATTTTGTTCCCTAGTGTCACAACTTGCAAAATAAACAAGTGGACAATCGTTTAAGAAACCACATGAATACTCAAATCAGATTAGTATGACATACAAGGGCTAGCAATGACATTATGGCAAATCAGGGATGGTGTATGGCTGCCTAGATTGGTAGATTATGTGAATTCAGCTGCTGCTGCTGCAGCCTCTATTAATTTTGACGATGAACATCAATGTGACTTCCCTAGACTCTCCTTTTCAAACCACTTGATGTCTTTGCATTATGCAAGACGCTAGCTACATCTTCAACTAGCTACCTAGCTAGCTACGGCAAGCTTTTAAGTTGTAATTACCTAAACAAGTTAAATTTGGTTCCTATGCATCTCCCATCTCAAGTACACGTACTATTAATTAAAAACTCCCATAACATTTCAGTCCTAGTTTCATTCCTATGCCTAAATCAGACAATTTAAATGTCCAATTGTAAAAGTAATCATGTGGTATATGACTTGATTTTCAAGTGGGTTGTTGAAGTATATAGACTTAACTGGCTTTATTTGTATCCACGGATAGTGTCAATTTACAGAGCATGTCAAACTGCATGCTTTTGCAGATGGACATGCAGAGAATGATAGGATAATTGGCAACATTCACTGGCTTTTTAGCCTCCTTTTTCATCTTCTTGATATGTTGGGGGTTGATATACATAAGATCATGTTTTTAATTTGAATGGTGTAGGTTTGATGTGTCCTAATCTTGTCCTTGTCTTGGTTGACTTAAGCTTCAATTTGACTTTATATGGGTACATTAGTATTTCAATATAAAGAAAAAAGTGGCCCACTAGTACTATTATGTCTTTTTTCGTCAAGTAATTAATGGCATGAGCTATGCTTGAATGTTACTGAATTATCAATCAAGGACAAGGCAATAATATATGTGTAAACCTCTAATAATGGTATCGTGAAAAAGACACCATTGTCAATGATATATATATGTATATATATATATAGATTCAGTCCACATGCCGAATACTAGCAGCCTATAGAAATGCATTGAGCAAACATGAAATCTGAAATAAACAAGCAATTCAGTCCATTGTTCCTTTGCGGTATTTTCTCAAACATGTGGTAAGCAATCAAAAGCATTCAGAACGGCAAAAAAATTGCATGTGGAAACCAGAACTGTGAAAATCATTGATGAGCTCTTGTGATATCCAGAAAGAATATAGAAAACAGAACTGTACAAGGCTGATTCTCACATCCACGAACAGAGAAAATATTGAAAGGAGAAGGTGAGAGAACTTACCGAATTGGACCCAATGGATGAACGTGTGTACGCATCCACTAAGAACCCCAATCTAGATGAGCTCGGAATACCCCAATTTCTCCGTCGCCGACAGGGGTACCTTGAAATTCTCCACCGATGACGGCGATTTAGGGTTCGAGGTCGCCAGTTACGGACACATCTGCTCAAAACAGCCGCCAACGGAGGTTTCCGATCGCAGATTTTTCCACATAGTTCCTCCCGTTTTGGGGGAAGTGAAGAAGAGGGTTGAGAAGGTTCTACCCACATGCATAAACGAAAATGGGTCAAAGTTCACCACGCAAGGCTCAAGAGCTTTATCTGTAATTTTCCATCGATGTGGATGATGGGAGACGACAGAGAGAGCTTTAGGTGGAAAGAGGACAGAAAACACAACGGTAAGGCGCGAGGGAATCCCACAGGCGTTTGCCTGATGAGTTGTGCAGAGCAGATTTTACAGTAGAGATAGGTTCGAAGTCATGGGGGTGGAATCACGCAAGAGAGATCTGTAATTTTCCATCTCTGTGGATGATGGGGAACGACAGAGCTTTCGTTGGGAAGAGGAGAGGAAAAAACACACCAACGGTAAGGCACGAGGGAATCCACAGGCTTTTGGCCGAGTTGGGCAGAGCACAAATCACTGTAGAGACAGGTTTGAGTTAATGGAATTGAAGCCTCCATTGAATTCCAATCTGCCTTCTCAACTCGGATCACAATTCGAGTTAGAGTTGATGCGTTGGTGTAATAAACACTTATTTGAGTTATTGGGCTGACTCAAATTGGGCTGGTTCGAACCAAACCCATGAAACAAACACGCCCTTTGTATTTGAAAATCTATTCCCTCAATAAATTGTTTAAAGAAGACACCCTATTTTTATAGTAACGAGAGCAATAAAGTTACAGAAAAAGAAGTCAAGAAAAAAGGATTCAGAAAAAAATTATTAAGTTTTGCTCAATGTGAAGTTATGTTCTTTTTCGATCGTTGAGTAATTCAATATGTTGAAGAAGAAATTTACAAGAGAAAATCGTACACATCTCAACTCTATGTTTTCTCTTAACTTTTAAATGTGAATTGACTTAAAATCAATAGTTTAGAAAGAACGGAAGGGGGACAGGGAGAGGGTGGAGATTTTGATCTAGGGTACATACTTCATGGAGTAAAAATAAACAAGGTACAAAATTCAGGAAATATTTGTGAAATTAATCCTTACTTTTATTAGTAGTTTGAATCTATGTGTATCAATTTTCAAGTTAGGAAATGTGTTGATTTTAGGAGATTTGAGAGTGTTGGGTAATTTATCCTTTTTTGTGAAACTAAAAATAAACTAATTTTATAATTTTGAGGGCACGTTTAAATGATGTACAAAGTTAAGATTACGTTAAAATTTGTGGATGAAGGTAAATTACATTGAAATTACGTTAAAATTTGTGGATGAAGGTAAATTACATTGAAATTACGTAAAATTACGTTAAAATTATGTAAAATGTACAAAGTTAAAATTACGTTACAAAATTGAATTTTCTCTCTTCTCCTAGTTTGTGGATTAAGATAAATTATCTTAAAATTTGTATGTTCTCTTCCTCTTTTTATTTTCCTCTTTAGTTTTTAATTACTAGACTCAAAATCGTATGACGGTCAACACGAAAGGAAGTCCACATAATTTTCTTTTTTTAAAGTAAATTTTCTCTGAATTGTTGGAACAGCAAGACAAGAAAATGATTGCACCAATTATTTGTATTTTGCGTAGCATCCTTCCTACAATTACTCTCTCCATGTAATCTGTTTTTGCAGTGTATTTGGACATACAAGAGAAATTTCTCTCGTTTTTTCCTCCATATATTCTCCTATTTGTGCATCTGAAGATCATTTTTAAAATGCTTATGAATTTATCTGTCTATTCGTGTACAGTGATACAAAGTATTGATCTTACTACAAATAAGTATACCCTCCTTTTTGTTTTTTGGAAGCAGAATACCCTCGTAAGCAAGATAAACTAAGCAAAAGAATAAACTGGTAAGCCCATGAAAATGTTAAAAAGATCATATATAAAACAGGAGATTGTATCATATATTAGCCATGACAACTGTTTTGAAGCAACATTCTCTATTTTGGGCATGGATGAAGAATTGCCTCTCGACAAAAATGAGATGACAAGAACAGATCACAAAGACAAACATGGATGGGGAACAAAAAAGTACCAAGCTTAAAAAAGGCAGTGCCAGTACCAAGTAGTAACCATATACTTTCTTATGATAACACCAAGACAGCTTGGAGAACGGAGATAATAAAAGAAGGCCACAAATAAAGGGATAGAATTCTAGTGGCCTAAACCACATTATCCTAGCAAAAAAAAAAAAAAAACACATTATCCTAAACAACAAGAGACATACTCAATTGTAGCAACTCAGCCAAAGCACAGGTCACTTGGAAGAGGTCCTGGGATTGAGCCCTGCTCCAAAAACTGCAGACCAAACACCACCAAAATGGCGAGCAACGACAAGTAGGACAGGCCTTCGACGGCACCTAATAACCCAAAAGGGCCATTAGGCAAACCTGAGCCAGTTTTGGCTTTGGTGTACAATGACCAAGCCACAATTCCCACGACAACTAAATAGCTAACACCTTCTAATGCGCCTATTGAGCCGCTGGGACCCGGTGGCAGGCCGCAGCCGGTGGTCTTAAGGGTGTAGAGTGACCAACCGATGACCACTGTCGACACTAAGCCGCCTGCAATGGCTGCTTTCTCTGCAATGCCACCGCTACTGTCGTCATTGCTTTCCTTTGCCATGGCTAGGACCTTTAGTGGGGAGTGAGTTGGCCTTGTTAGTCTGTACTTGACATTGAATTTGTTGGCCCGTAGTGATGTCATTGACGTTGGCTGTGGAGAGATTAGCAACATCTTTGTGGCTTCCATGGTATTGTTGAGCACAAGAGAGGAGGTGAGAGAGAGGGAGAGGTGGTTTGAGTTGCAAAATCAGAGTTCTATGTTGTGACTGAGAAAATGAAATGTTAAAGCGCCACCTTATCAATATCACCTTAACATAGGAACTGAAGTTTTATTTTTAACAACTAAAACAATTATTCAGCAAAGAATAACAATAATAATAATAATAATTACTTATTTGATAATCAAACCGTCAATAATTAAAGGAGTCTATGTTGCAACTTGTTTGTCTTTACTTATTCATGTCAAAATTACATGCTAAAAGGTTGAAACTTCAAAAAAAAAAAAAAAAAAAAAAAAAAAAAAAAAAAAAAAAGGAGGTTAAACAAAAAATAATAATAATAATAGTCTACTACTGCCCACGTCGGTTCTGTTTCACCTATGAAGCCGACAAAAGAGAAATTCCAGTTAAATTATTGGAGTTTTAAGTAAGCTATCTACAAGTTGATCAGCTTGAGCTGAAGTTCAACCAAGGCTCAGCTGGCAAATTGTATAGTACGAATATTCTTTCATTTGGCTACTTTTTACGTTCCATCAATGGAATCACTACAGCTCGGCTGCCAACCACTTTCAATCAATACAAATCTAAACAAACCCAAGAGGAGGAATTACTCTACATTTCTCAGATGTTTAAACAATGTGTATCATGTATGTTGAACCGTCTGATCAAAATTTGGCCACCTGTCAAACGTTCCACGTCACATGAACATTACATCTTGGATTCATTAAACTCACATCTGAAAGCCACTTGGTATGTACACCATACAACCACAAGTACACAGACCACGGAGGAAGATGAAAACAAATAATAATTACACCTCACATGGCCCGGATAAAGATAAAGAACACAAAACACGTCAGAATCCTTATAGCCCATTTGATTGAATGGAACATAATAAGAGAAGAATAAAAAGCCTATCTACACGAGTTTTTTTTTTTTTTACAAGTTCCCTTTAAAAATAAAAATAAAAAAAGGTACTGCTTGGGCAAACGACAGCAAAAACAAAAACAATTTTTTTAGTTTACTACCCTCTTTTTTTCCTTTGTTTTCCCTCCAATTCTTTGAAACCGACTCCCCAAAACAAGAACATGTGCTTGTGAACCCTTCTTAACTGCCATTTGAATAACAAAGAGTAACGGCTATCTAACAGATCCAAGCGGGGACAAACACTAACGATTTTTTGAACTGAAACCACAAGGATACAATAATCTCCCACCTGCTATATATTTGTCCAAAGAAGAGAGCTCAGAGCCAAAATCACTACCAACCAATCTATCTAAGGTTCCCCGGTCTCCATACTAAAAAGGACATTGAAGAAAAAACATTTAAATAATGCAAGATCTTAGGTAAGTGTCAGTGATGCTTCTTTGAAGACTTGTTGTGCTCAACAACATCATCGTCATCTTCATCATCCTCACCTTCATCTTCCTCCTCATCTCTCTTCCTCTTTAAGTGCGAAGAAGAGGGAGGCAGCTCCTGAACTTCATCATCGTCTTCAACTTCTTCCTCCTCTTCACCATCATCACCTTCTTCTTCGTTCCCCCCTGGTTCCATGTCGCTACCTCCAGCGTCTTCTCCCTCATTCGGTGCCACTGGTTGAACTAAGTAGCCTGCGCCAGAGTCTTCTTCCTGCAATCCAGGAAACATTTTCCGAGTAAGACGAAGAAAAGATTGTAAAAGGCAAATATGCCCCCAGTAGGAAAAAAAAAGGGCAGGAAAAACTGAAGTGCACAACAAATCAAAGAAAGCCCAAACTCAAAATACAAACATACCACAACTTTTAAAAATAATAATAATAATAATAAACAGTATATCACTAAAGGGAAAAACTGACGAAGCAAGTTATTGGAAGCACCATCACGATGAAATCTTTGATTAGATCAACCATAGGCACAAACAAAATAACTTGAAAGGAAAAATACACCAAAAAAAAAAAGGACTAAGAACCATAATGAGAGTCTGGTACTAAAAATAACATTGCAAGTCTAAACAAAAAAATAAAAATAAAAATTCCACACGTAAAGCAGACCGATGACCAGTACATCACTGATTACTTAAAGTAATTCTTAAGCCTAAAATAGGCTGCTGATCAAAACCCAGACTAATGAAAATCAGAAGAAAACTACAATAAATAGCTACCAGTTGAACTAGATGGATAACACACAGAATCCAGCAACAGATAGAGGTCCTAGCGTTGGGAAATCAGTACATAACTAAATCTCTTACTGATCGTAAATCAATATTATACCGAAAACTAAAAAGAACTGAGAAAACCAACTGAAAATGCCAGAATGGAAAATAACAAAAATAGAAAAACGACAAATTCTTCCTCTGGTCAATACAATAACAGAAGATTGTAAGGCAAGAACACCATGGAAATAAAGCCAAAACAACTTTACACAGATCTAATAACAATTGTTCCTGCAAACTCAATATTAACTGCTCCATTCACCGAATGATGCTCTCGATATCAATCGCCTAAATTTCCAGAAAATCAAGTTCCTAGAACAAAACATCTAAAATATGAACATCCCAAACCTGAGCAAAGCTTTTCCTTCCCCGCTTGTAAAACAAACAGGCACTTTTTAAAATGACGTTAACTTCGCTTTATATGCAAAACAACTTTTTTAAAAATTTCAATTTAAAGAATGACTGAGATACCACCGAGTACGTCCGAGTGTAAAAATGACTTTCTACTTCTAAGGTTGTCATATTGGCCAACTTCCCTACAACAAAAGGCTCTCCAGCTAAGTTTCAGAAAAGTCGCATGACTTAACTGGAGGAATGAAGAGAACACAACCTAACACAAAGCTGAGAACAGCTACGATATTTAGAGACTCACATTAGTGACTAGACACCAGAATTACAAATCAAAACAGGATAAAACAAGTAAAAGAACTCAAAATCATTCGCATGCAAAACACCAATTTCCAAACAACCATAAGCAAAAAAAAAAAAAAAACCATGTAGAACGACAAGAAATCATTATACCAATGTAATCTGATTCTCTTCAGCTATCTAAAAGCACAACAGAATTCAAACAGTTAAAGCAACCAACAAATTAAAAACAATAACAGGAAAAAAAATACCACTAACATTACAACAACAGCAGTAATAAAGATCATAAAGGGTTAATGTTACTGCAAAGTAATCTCACCTCTTCCTCACCATCTTCTTCAAATTCTCCATCCTCCTCAACACCCTGCTCTTCCTCACCAGTCTCTCCATTATCATCCTCATCCCCATCGTCCTCCCCTTGTTCGTGCCCATCAATCTCTCCTTCTGTGCTCGTCAACCGCCCCGTACTCTCCGGCTCGGCGAAATCCGCCTCATCATTATCGACCTCTTCCGCATCCTCGTCCTCATCGTCATCATCATCATCATCCTCCTCGTCATATTCAATCCCATCTTCTTCATCGCTGTCGCCAATCTCATGAACCTCCACCACATCGTCATCCTCCCCCTCCTCTTCGTCGATTTCCTCTCGTGATTCGTTCTCTTCATCATCATCGCCGTCCTCCTCGTCCTCATACCCTCCCTCCCCCTCCACCGGAGCAACCCTAAACCCATTTGTCAGATGATTCTGTCCGTTCGCCCTCCGTGCCGTCTCCGTCTCCTCCTCATCGGCGTCACTCTCCTCATCCTCGTCCACATCAACAACTCCCTCAACCCCCTCGCTGTGACCGTTGTTCATTCTATACGGCCGATCCTCGCCGTCGATTTCTCCGCTCCCAGGGTCATCCTCCTCCTCATCTTCCTCCTCCTCCTCGTCATCGGACTCCGGCCTCTCGTTCTCCTCCGCGTCCATCTTATCCAAATACTTGAGCGATTTTATCAAGCCGAAAACCCTAGATCGATAATCCTTGACGCGCGTGACCGGACACTCGTAGAGATCGAGCGAAACGAGCTTGAGCTGCGCGAGCGGGGCGAGATCTTCGATGTATTGAATCCGGTTATTCGATAGGTCAAGGTCGCGGAGCGAATCCAAACCCGCTTCGACGAGAAATTCAAGGCCGCCGGCGATCCGATTGTCGGAGAGGATGAGCTTCTCCAGGCTCCGAAGGCGCGGGAACTGCTCAAGCGACGAGACGCCGATGTTGGCTATGGACAGGTGCTGAAGGTTCTGGAACTTCTCCAGAAGGCTCGGCGGCGGAAGCCGACCCTGGACGCACTTCACGGCGCCGTCGAGCGTCAGCGTCCGAGCCGCCGCATAGTCCGTCTGGCCGTCCAGCGCCGTCTCAACGGCTCTCTCCCAGATCTCATCCATCAAAACGACACCGCTTCTTATCTCATACAAAACCAAAACCTCAAAATCTCTCTCTCTCTCTCTCTCTCTCTCTCTCTCTCACTCTCTCTCTCTCTCTCTCTCTATATATATACGCACGCACACAGACCCACCCACCTGTATATATCTGTCTATAAATAAATATATATATATATATATATATTTCTACACCACAGGAACCGATTCAGAGCACGCAAAAAGCAGAAATTAAAAAGCAATTGTCCGTTGGAATGAAGAAGAACTCGAGGTTTATTTAGCACTAACCCTAGATTTTTTGAGAAGAAGATGAATAACAGTCGGGAAATTTCGAATCCCCTTCTTTTCTCATGTAAAACCCTGTTTTTCGTTTCTTGATGTACGAACTCTTTCTGTAAGTTGGAAAACGTTTCAGAAGCAAATGAAAAGAAAAAATAAAAATAGACCCAAAATTCCTCTCTTTCTCTCTCTAAAATTCGCTCTCTCTCTCTTCTATTGGTTGGAGTGCGCGAGTCGGGATAAACCTCTAGAGGAAGGGGCTCGCGGTTCGTGGCGTGGGTTCGGGTGCGTGAGCAAAGCCGCGTGGTTTAAGGGACTAGTGAATTATTGGAGGGGTCTTATCCGTTGGATGTGAAGGTGCGGATCGATGACGTCGATACATTGGACGGTTAGGATTTGAGCTCGGTGTGTTTGTTCTCCAGAAGGACGTATTAGAATTGAGAGAGAGAGAGAGCCGATCTCGGCGTCGCCATTTAGGACACGTCAACCGGGCTGTAAATATCGGTGCGGTTACGGATATGGGCATATAGGTTGGGAAAATTACGGGATTGCCACTGAGTTTATGGACGGACGGATTAGCTTAGCATGACGATAGATTTGAGGGGTCGTCATTGGACACTCGTGATCATTCACACAACGGCACAGCTCCCAACGTCGTCTCATGTGTTTCTCGTCGTTTCAAGTCTGGCTTAACATTAAGAGAATCAATTGTGTGTTTTGAGATAAAAAGAAGAAATGAAAATGGGTGGGTGCGTTTGAAATTGATTCCAAAATGTTTTTATTTTCTGTAAGAAAATGAAAATGAAAACGTTTTTAGTTTTATTTTTAAATTATTTTTGAAAATGCGTTTGGTAATTTTATTATATAATAATATATTAAATAAATATATTAAATAAACATATATATAATACAAAAACGGTTTCAGAAAATAGGGAAGAAAATGAAAAAAAAAAAAAAAGTGAAATCCGTTTTCAGAAAACAGAAAACGAAAATGAGAAAATAAAAACACTTTTTTTTCGTTTTCTGATTTCCACAAAAAGATAAAAACATTTTTGGTTTTGTTTTTTAAAAAAATTTGCACCAAACACATCTTTAACACCCGTTTTCATTTTTTTTGCTTTGAAAACCGTGAAAAACGAAAATGAAAACACAAACAAACAGGCCCGGTGTTTTCAGTTTTGTTTTCTGAAAAATGGGTCTCCAAACATGATCTTCATTTGTTTTTCATTTTTACTCCTCAAAAAACGTGAAAAAAGTTTTCAAAAACGAAAATAAACGCGCCCTTTGTTACTTATACCGGTGAAAATTTTGTTTATTACTTGAGAAAAAAAATTATTCATTACGGTTAACATGTTTAAAAAAATAAAAAATTCTCAAATACGTCAGTCATATAAATATATTAAGTTTTTTTAACTGTTAAATATATATATTTTTTAATTTTTATTTACTTATATATAAATTTAACGAATAAAAAATTTAACTTATTGATATATTAACGTACCTACCAAAGAAAGTAAAAAAATAGAATTGCATTTACATGTTGAACACTACCTGATTCGGTAATATTTAAGACATAAGTCATACCATTTTAAAACACTAGCACTTTCATAGATCCTAGTCCTACCTGATATGGTAATTAATTTTTTTTTTCTTTGCTGAATTGATACGGTAATTATTTAAGTCATCAATTTTAGCAATTTTTAACATCAAACGTAGACATAAATTGAAAACATAAGGACAATGCATTTCAGAATAACAATAACAAAAATGAGAAATAAATAAATAAATAATATG